CTCTCTCACACACACACACACACACACACACACACACACACACACACAAAAGGATGCAGGCCCACAGATCAGTGTTGGCCCCCAGAGGAGAAGAGCAGGTTCATTTACCTACCTCTCCTTCTGTTCCAGGACCAGAGATCCAAGTGACACAAAACAAATGGGGCACACTTTTATACTAGGCAAGCCTGGCAAGAAGGAAACAAATGGGATTTCCCAACTGATTACTTGGTCTTAGATATTTCACTATTTTCCTGAAAACAATTGTCAAACTCAACACTACACTAAAAATTATAGTTTGGAAGCTATCTGATAATTAACCACATTTTCAAGCATTTATGGAAAGATTTCCTTCAGGATGTAAGAGTATGAGATTCTTGTAATTTTCTTCCTATATGGTTCTTGGAACCATCAACCATAAGGTGAGATGGCGATAGAAGAGACAAGGAAAAGAATCCTAGAGACTTCATTCCCAGGGACCTTAGGGCTGGGTTTTAACACCATTTCTTTCATCATCATCCTTGTCCCTTCCCTATCTTGGTACAACATTCTCACATTCAACAATTAGGAGCCCTCCCAGGGTCTATGGGTGAAATACTATCTCCCTCCCATCTCTCCAGGTTGTTCCTGGCCTCAGAGATCTTTAAGTCTCAGACAGAAAGGAACAATAGTCATTTTTACTATTTTTAATCTAGCTACAAGTAAGTCAACAGCGTGCAACTATTTAGTAAGTCTCTTCTTTGTGCCGGTTACTATTCCAGGCACTGGCACAGAATCCCTGTCCTTGAGGCACTTGTAATTCAAATATGGAGAGCAGAATATAAACTGCACTATGTAAAGAATGAATAATATAATTTTAAGGACTCTCTCAGTAATTCCTGGAGGCCAAATATTGCTTCCCAGTACCTGGAAACACTTGACAAATCAGACTTCGCAAGAAAAAGTCAAATTTGACAGCTCTTCAATGATAATAGCATTTGTGTTTCTCCTGCATAAATGCTAGGTCCTTCTGCAGATGGAGAGAACCTCCCATTCCTGGAGACTTCAGGAGAGTTGGACTGATGTAAAGAGACACAAAAAATGGGGTCCTCTAAGATTCTGGACCTCCTGAGTTGAGTCTAAGACCCTCTCTGTTTCTCTATTCCTTTTCCAAGTGTTTTAGTAGAATCAAAAATGTCAAAGACAACCCCAGATCACTTTACCTATGATACTGATGGTAGTTGTTAAGTGTTCATTCTCGTCAATTTAGAAACAGTCATGGTGTTGGGCAGTCGGCTAAGGGCAGGGTTATGACAAACACAGTCCCTGCCCATAGTCCAGTATGGAGGATAGATAGATAGATAGACAGACAGACAGATGATGATAGGTGAGACATATACAAATAGTAAAATTCTCAGGCTATGATAGAAACACAGAGCAAAAGGAAAAGCCCCAAACTGGAGCAGAGGACTCTTTCTGGAACAGATTTGACTTGTGACAAGTATGAATGGATAGACAGGCTTAGAGGCAACCTGCCCTTGGACATGGAACTGATACTACCTGTATGTTCCCCTCAGTGCAGTAATCTCCTGCAGAGCTGAACCAGCCTCCAGAGCTAGCCTCTACCCTTCCCCAGAGCACCACCTGTCTCTCACCTCCTCCCCCATCATCCTTGGGATGACTCACCCTTTCACTCTTCTTCCAGCAAGTCTCCCTGGGCAGATCCAAGAAGCTGGGGCAACCCCAACTTTCAGCTGTATGACCATGCAGTAATATGCAAAGCCAACACTTTGTGCTTACCTTTTAAGACCTTATAACTTCTTTCTGATGTTCGGTGGATGCCTTATTTTCCTAAGCTCCTTTTATCTGAACAGTACAGAAGTTCCTGAGCCCTGGGCACTACCAGCTCACAGCTGTAAGTTCAGAGTGTCTTCCCGTGCTGTGAAGACCTCACAGGAGTGCAGAAGAAGGTCATGGCCTGCTTTGAGCAAATTCTGGAGTAGACACTTTGGTCTCACAAGCTTCTTGAATAGCTTTTAATCATTGAAAATTGGGAAGAAAATATAATGTGGCACTCTGTAATGAAAGACCCAAATCTACAATTAATATAGTACCAGGAAAAGAAAGAAGAAATGGCAGCTTGCTTTTGTACTTGTCTATGTTGTCGTATCTTAAGACCAAACATCAGAACTATTTCTGGACTTAATAACCCCAATGTCAGTGCTTGGGTAGTGTCTTCAGGGAAAGGAATAGAGTATAGGGTGAGGCCCAAGTCACTTCCAAAGGTTATGAGTTTTAGTCTTTCTATCCCATTAATTCTTTGTGTGTGTGCGTGCGTGTGTGTGTGTGTGTGTGTGTGTGTGTGTGTGTGTGTGTGTAGGACAGAGAGAAAATGTTGCTTAGGTCATAGTAGTCAGATACTTGGTCAAACATTTTCCTAGTTGTTTCTTTTAAGGTATTTTTAGATGGAACTGACATTTAAATCAGTAGACTTTAAGTAAAGCAAATTGTCCTCCATAATGTGGGTGGCCCTCATCCAATCAATTGAAGGTCTAAATTTAAAAAGACTAAATTTAAAATTTTAAAAAGAATTCCTAAGGAATTCTGCCAACAGACTGCCTTTGAACTTGGACTACAACTCTTCTTGGTTCTACCTTGCTGATTTTGGACTTGCCAGTCAATTCCTTAAAATAAACAAATATATGTATATAATATACATGCTGACATAAACATACATATCATATTGTTTTTGTTTCTCTGGAGAAGCCCAACAAATACAATTGCTCAAAATATAAGGTGGACAAGCAGGTGTTTGGTAAGAGATAGCAAGGGTATCTTGGTCACAGCACAAAAGCAGCAGCACGGGGAATGAAGGGGTGACAAATTGGGTGATACAGCTCACCATCATGATGACCTTCCACCTGGGATTTCAACTCCAGCAAACTGTTGGATCCTGAGAGGACAGGTGCAGATTGACACACACATGAAACATATGTCTCATCCTGAGCTGTCCTTCTTGCAGAGAAAGAAATGCCATTACTCACAGGTAGTGACAAATGAGGGTTTTTGTACAGAGGTGGAGTTTGACAAGTGTTTCCAGAACTAAAGAGCTATACCTGGAAGCAAGAAGTCTGGGGGAGTTTCAGTTGTTCTCCCATTCCAGGCTGAATCCACAAAAAAAAAGACCAGGCATTGAGCCTCTTCAGCCCACTTGGATCCATCCTCTCAAGACAGGAACACTGGAGAAGCAGGTGAGTGAAATTGCTCAACTGACTAATTGAGCAGTTACAGTACCATGTAACTGCTCAGGGACCACTGGGACAGCAGACAGAGTTTGCTGGAGGTGAACTTCGATCGTTTTCAGAGGGTTTGATAGGAATTAGAAATGTTAATATTGGGAAAGACAGATGAGTTAATAGGTAGACATGCATGCATCCCCTTTTTTTTTATAAGAGAGACTTTCATTTTGAGACGAGTTTTCACTATTTAGCCTAAATTGTCCTCAAATTCATGATCGTCCCGCCTCAGCCTCCCAAGTGCTGGTACTTTGGCTCTGCCTGCATTTTTGTGAATTGAACTTATAGAATGGTTTTCTTTGAGAAATTTAGAGACCATTTACTATAACATAAAGTGTTTCTGGTGAGAAAAAAAAAAAACTTGCTAGAAACAGAAAGCAACTTACTCAAAGTCCCTGAGAGAACCTGTGGCAAGTTGGGACAATCTAGATGACAAATGCTGCATTTTCAAATCAGAGCTCTTTCATTTCCATTAGTTTAGATGACAGCACATACTAAACAAGAAAGTAAGCTTGGGTAGGACCAATAAGTCAAAAAATTAAAATTAAAAACCTGAGATCATGCACTAATATTCCTGTGATCCAGGATTTGGGATGGCAAATTGTGAGGCTCTTCCTTAAAGCCTACATGAGATGAGGGGAGGAAGGAGGTTACTCATCCTCATCAACTGTGAGCTAATTGGAGAGTTAGATGAGCAGAGGATGATGTATGGAATGGAAAAGCTGGGGAAGAGAAGAAGATAGAGACCTGCCAAAAGGAGGCAATGGATGGCTGGGGTAATGCCCAATCCTGAGGGCAGACTCAAAATCTCCTTCATTAGGAGAATCAAGAGGAACCCTGAAGAGATTTGAGAACAGTCCTCTCCTCAACACAAAAGAAGTTTAATGCATCTGTAATAGGGGTCCTATAGTTTCTGAAGATTGCTCAGGTGGTAGAGCAGGCTTGGGGGCCTTCTTCTGTTCTTAACCCTACAGAAGACATTTCTTATCATGTCTAATGCATATTGCTCTGATATTTCTGCTGGAAATTTTCACAAACACATACCCACTCTTAAAGTAACTCTAAATAATAGCCAGCAGCCTTTGAGGCATTAACAAGAAGCTCTCTTGTCCATTTTCCCTACTACCTGCATTCTCTACCCAAGCTACCCATAACCCTCTATTCCTAGCACACACACACACACACACACACACTGATTTGTTTCTCAGTGTCTTTTTCTTATGGAGCACTCACTTATGCTTGTCACACTGTTAATTTTATCCTTTCAAATCTTTCAGTCGTGGGATGTGGTCATCGTTATCCCCATTTAAAAGAGACGTGCAATGCTCTACCCACAGAGAGCAGTAACAAAATGGGCCACCAGTCTCTCTGACCTAAACACTCCTGCTTGTCACTTCCTTGATGTGAGAGATGCTGGACCTGCTGGTTCCCTCCATTGAACTGGGCACCAGTTGGATGCCAGGGTCCATTGTGGTCCACAATCTAAGAGTGGTCACCTGAGGATAGAGAGGAGACTGGTCATAATCCCAAGGGATTTCCATTCTTGCAGCTGCTGTCAGTGTGGGGTCCCATGGACACCATAGTTGTGCCAGAAAATTTAGTGAGAAGGTCATCCCTAAGGGAAGTGGTAGAGCTATGATGGTTTCAGAAGCTACCAAAAACAAAATAAAGCAAACATAACAAAAAAGTATTTTCTACTTCTTACAGATTCTCATCAACCAAGGAAAGATGTCCCAGCAGCAGCAACAATGCAAAGTCCCCTGCCAGCCCCCTGCAAGGATGCCTGAGCCCTGTACCCCCAAGATGCCTGAGCCCTGTCCTCCCAAGGTTCCAAAGCCCTGTCCTTCACCCCCCAGCCAACAGAAGTGTCCCCCTGTGCTGCAGCCTCCATGCCAGAAGGAATGCTCACCAAAGACGAAGTGATACCTCTGAAGTCTCTTTCCCCAACTTGGCCATGAGGCAGCTGGGTTCTCTTCCTCTCACCACAGACCCTATCTGCATCCTAAAACATGGAACTGTATACATCCCAGAAGAGGCTTCTTCTCACAGTCAAGGTGAATCCTGAATCCTCCACAGCTAATTAACAAGCTTCTGCCATCTACCTCAAATAGACAGCAGATTAGGCAGCAGTGACATGTTTTCCAGGGACTCCCTCAAGTGTGGGCAGGCTCATTCATCTTTGGAAACCCTGCTGTAGTAGTCAAGACAAGGCCCATGATGCCATGACTGTACCGTTTACTCAGAATGCTGCTGGTCATATCGTCTACCTCAGGAGGCTGAAGGTGGATTCATATCCCACAGACAGAAAAACAAACAACAAAACCACCTTAGATTTTCTTCAGATTATATACAGAAAAACAGAATTATCCTAAATGAGCTCACAATTCATTTGAGAAGTCACTCTTCCTATACGCCACAGAGATGTTGTTGAAACCCCCATCCCTCAACCTTACTCCTTCCAATTTACTGCTAGTTAAGCCCTTCCTAGGGCAATCCCTCCCCCAGCCACCCAGAATTATGTCCTGCCTCTCTGATCTATTAAAGTCATTATTATTGAGAAGTCTTTACTTTTCTTCAGGTAATGCCCAGACTATTGTAGGTGTACATGGGTGGTGTTGGACAACTGGGGAATGGCAAGAGTTACAGGAAAAAATGGACTAATGGCCTAGCCATGGAAACAGGTAAATGTGAAGGAGCTCCTTCCACTTGTGGAGCCCTCCTCAGTGTCCAAACCCAACTGACCAGTTGGGTCAGTTCCCCTTAGTTCTCAGCTTTCTTTCCCAAAGAAAAGAAAGTCTCACAAGGGAGAAACAGATGCACTAGAAATAGAGCTACACAGAAGGATGGGAGACCCAGGGTCTGCAGAACCCTACTGAGAATGGAAAATACAATATTCCCTTTGAATTGTATTTGAGTTGTCATACCATGTTTCAGCTACATGGAAGTAAAAATGGTAGCTACATAAATGGTAAGCAAAACAAGAGATTTGAAACAGTATATCACCTCTGCTGTGTACAGTTATAAGATATGTAATTGTAATTGAAAGGCCAAACCCCACCTCTACTTCTAATGGTTTGGGGTCTATTCTAGTTCAAGGAATAGCAATTCCAATGCAAGCAATGCTAAAAGAAAAGCAGCACAATAATTTTTAAACTCCCCCCATGAAAGGATGAGTAACATTTATGGAACAGCCCTAGTTCTTGCTAAATGTTTAGGGAGTATATACCAGTATATGTCTGGGTTCCCAGCATTCAGAAGGTTAAAAATTTCATGAAGGAGAGATACAAATATAACAGTCATCAAAATTCTAGTACATGTGTGTTGATGATGAACTTATTTATGCAGTAGGCTGAATAATACCACCCCCAAAAGATATCCATATCCTAATCCCTGGAACTTTGAACATGTTACCCTACAAAAGGGGGATTTGCAAATGTGATTTACTTAAGGATTTTGAGATGGGAAGGTAAGCTTGGATTATCTAGGGCCCAATGTACTCTTAAATGTCTGTATAAGGAGGAGACAAGAAGATCTGAGAAACAAGAGGTTGGAGTGAATAAAGTCCTATGACCAGAGAATACAGTCACCTTCTAAAACCTAGACAAGGCAGAAAATGTCTTCAAAAGGAACCAGCCCTGCCAACACCATGATTTTAGATTTCCACATTCTATAAGCATAAGAGAATGAAATCATATTGTTTTAAATTTGTTTCAGTAAATAAGAAACTGAAAAATCTCATTCCTTCCTCTTAAAATTCCTAAAGGAGACATAAGGTGGGAGATTATGAGAGGGGAAGGGAACATAAAAGGTGTTTAATTCATCTGGAATCCCTGGATTGGGCCCAGGGTCATGTTGCTGCTGATACTCACAAAAGCTATTAGATACTCAGAAATCCATCAAGCCAGTTATTAACACTTTGATAACTTGACTTTCTCTTGAAAGCTTCAACACCGTGGGAAACAGCGAAGGTTCCATGCACATCATGGCCTTCCTGGCCCTGCCCCCAGCTGATATCAGCACACTATGGTTAAACCTAATCTGGAGGGATGATAAATCCAGCAACATTATAATATGAACTGCCCATAGAGGTCATGTAGCAGAGACTGCAGGTGACTTCTTGAATCTGAGAACTTCAGTCATTTAACCATAGGAAATGAATTTTGCCAACAACCTCTCAAGCTTGGAAGAGGACTCTGAGCTTCAGAAAGCAGTGCAGCAGTCAATAACTTGAATGCAACTTTGTGAGACATGAGCAAAGGACCCAGCTCAGCCATGCCCAGACTTCTGACCCACAGAAACATCAGTTTATGCATGTATATCATTTTAAGATGACAAATGACAATTTGTTATGCAGCAATATAAAACCAATGCACTTTATTGACCTTCCAAATATTCTCTTCCCCAGATTAACCATCCTGCTCCTTTTTTGTTTTTTCAATCATTGTTTTTACATTGCATAATTTGTTCTGCCACATCTTCATCTCCCTCAGTCGGAATCATTACATGGGATTATATTCCTCTTAACAATTAGAAGCCTTGCAAAAACCAAAAACAACAACCAAAAATAAAAAGCTATCAGTAGATCTGATAGAACAAACACAGTGATAAATGCTTCCAAGGCATTAATGTGGAACACAATATTCACATTCTGCAGGTGCAAAGGGAATTGGCTATTTGGTAGCTGTGGCCTGTGGTGATTCCTGTGGTTATGGTGGAAGAAAGATGAGTGCATAGAGTGCCACTCCCTCCCCTCTGGATGCTTGAGCTTAATCTCCCTCCTTGATATTGTCAAACTGTGAATTCTTGATTGACAAATTAGAGACACTAGAACTAAGAGAGAGGTCCTATCAGCAGCAGTCACAGATTCAAGTCCCCTTCCAGCTCCTTTCCCATGTTCCCAGGACTTCTACCTACCCTTCCTAGCAGCATAGAAACTCTTGTGCAGTACCTACTACACCAGCAGGAATGTTCACAGACGTGACAGCCTCTGAAGCCACCCACCCAATCCAAACCTGAAGCATGTGGAATCCATCCATCCTGCTCACCACATACTTCTCCTTTTCCAATAATCCCACCCTGAGCACCCCATAGCCATCAAGTCTCCAATTTTTCTGAGTTCCAAGGATAAAACTTTCATAGACCCCTGGGTTCCACAGATAGCAAGTAATTATTCCCAAAGCCTTTCTAGCACCAGAGACTAGCCAAAAGCACTCTCAGGATCTTCACTGGAGCCGGGTATCCCATCTTTCCTCTTCTCCACATTCCTGCTGGTGTGGTAAGCACTGCTCAGGAGTTTCTATCCTGCTGGGTGGGCAGAAGTCCTAGGGACCTGGAGAAGGAGCTGGAAAGGGACTTGATTTTGTGGCTTTTGTTCTAATGGAATAAGAATACTTAATGTGAGATCTATCCTCTTGACAAATTTTAAGTATATAATACATTATTGTTCACTTTAGGTACAATGTCTTAAAGCAAATCTTTAGAATTTATTATCTTATTTAACTGAAACTTTATAAAGCCTGTTAATGATTCCTCATTTCCCCTTCCCCACAACTCCAGCTAACCACCATTCTAGCTTTTGATTTTATTAATTTGGCTATTCTAGGTAGTTCCTATAAGAGGAATCATGCAGTATTTGTCTTTCTGTGTCTTTACATAATTTACTCAAGGGCTTTCCGTGTTGTTAGATAAGACAAAATAGCCATCTTAAAGCTGAGTAGAATTCCATTGTATTAATCACCACATTTTCCTTATCCATTCATCTGACAGTGGACATTTAGGTTGTTTCCACATCTTAGCCCCTGTTTGACAGGACTGGTTCTTCCAGCTGTGTTGCCTCAACCTGTACTGCCTCCTGGTGGCAAAAGAAGATCATTAGGAAAACAGACCTTTGCCTCCTTTCATTTTATTTAAATACAGGAAGACCTCTCTTTAAAAACTAAACATAGATCTGCCATATGATCCAGAAATACCAGTCCTAGGGATATACCTAAAGGAATGAGACTCATGTTATTCCAAAGGCACCTGAATATCCATGTTTATTGCAGCACTATTTGTGATAGCCAAGTTATGGAAGCAGCCAAGATGCCCTACTACCAATAAATGGATTAAGAAAATATGGAATTTTATTCAGCCACAAAGAAGAATGAAATTTTATCATTTGCAAGTAAATGGGTGGAACTGAAGAACATCATCTTAATTGAAGTTAGCCAGGCTCAGAAGGCCGAAAATCATATGTTCTCCTTCATATGCAGACTTTAGATCTAAAACAAATGCAGTAATATTATTGGACATGGGTAAGGTGCTAAGGGGAGAACTCTTACAGGAGGAATAAGGAAAGATAAGAAAAGCAAAACTTGAAAGTGTTTGATGTGCTCACTGTAGAGGAGCAAATAAAGTAATCTTAAACAGGCAGAGGCCACTATGGGAAGGTGACCGGGAAGTAGTGAAGAGATCTGGTAGAGATGAACCAATTCAGCTTGTAATACACATATGCATGGAAGCAATGCTAGGAATCTCTCTGTATACCTATCTTTATCTCAAACTAACAAAAGCGATAGTCTTCTCTTCAACAAAATTGAAGAAGCTAGCAGACCAGGTTCTTCCTAGAAGCGAGGGGAGTGGGGGAGAGGGAGGGGATGGGAGGCAGGGGGGAGATGGCCCAAGCAATGTATGTTCATATGAATAAATGAATAAACAACATAAAAAATATAAAGACCTCATAAAGTAAAATGGCTAAGAAATTGACAACAACTATCTTAAATCATCTGAAAGTGATCCCAGAATTTCCTAATTTTTCACTCTCACTTATTGAAGGAAATGGGTACCTAGACTTTTGGACTCCCTTGCATGCACAAGGATTTCTTCCTCTGTGCTCTGAGCTTGCAGAGGACACTCTCAACATACTGAGGGACATCCTCTTCATC